GTTTTTGTTTGTTTGTTTTGTCTTTTTATAGGTTAGGTGTAGGGAAAGGGGACACGGGACATGGGATTGAACACGGGTTGTAAACCAACATGAACACTTTGTTACGATTTGTGACCTATAAAGGTAAGGTGTTCTTTTCCTACTAATGAGACGGCATGAGCCGAGTCGAGTTAAACTCATGCTCCTGCCCTCTCCGTTCCTGCAGAATCTATCAATAAACCCCCATATCTGCTAAAATCCCTCTTTCTGTGTCAGGTTGTGGTTAATTCTCTCTCCTTCCAGGCGTCCCAAAAGAGTTGGTTCCTGCCAGAATAAACACACCTACATTTTTCCAGCAGGACACGCCTGACGAGGTGGTGTTCATCCACGAAAGCTCACCTATCGTATGACGATTTTAGTGGTCTATAAAGGTTTCGCCCACTCTTGCCATTTGTAAGGTGGAGAGTGAGTGTCTTCTCCACCCTACAAATTGCAAAAGTAGGCGAAACCTGTGCGGCCTTTTCTGGAGCTCATCATGGACCTCAAGGTTCGGGCACACGACATGGGTGGGGGGAGGCCTTGAGACCCTTTCTCCCCGTTCTCGCCCGCTGCCCCCCCTTTCCAAAAACTGTGGTGGGAGCCCTCTGTGTTTTCCACAGCTGATGCTTTCAAGTTGCAGAAGGCCAGGAGGAGGCTGGCCCCGAGGAGGTCCTCAAAACTACCCAACGCCTGCTTTGATGTTTTGTGCCAACGGAGCAAACTTAATATGCAAAGCACCAACCGAGAATAAATAGGCAGCGTGGAAATGCTATTTCCACACAGTCCCTTTCCTGACCATTATGCTGCTTCAAACAAAAGCAATTTACTCTGCCTATAATAAAGCCAAAGTGATAACGAAGCTGTTGAGTCGCTTATTTTGCTCCCTCTCTCTCTCACACACACACACCCCAGCTTTTGCTCAGCCAGACGCCACCCATAAAAAAAGGAGCCATGGACCATCCTGCCTGCAGCAGCTTCCCGGAGAATTTCTAACGGAGACATAAAGCAACAACTTGTTTCCTGGCCAAAGGAGGTGATGACCTCAATGGGGGACCGAGGGGGGGGAGAGTCGATTC